CACCGCTGGCCCTGCCTTCAAGTGCCGGAATACCCAACTCGGCAGCGATTCCCAATTCCGGAGCTGCCACCTCCAGAGCAGCCCCCGGGCGCGGGAGGGACAGCCTCTGTCTAATTGCTGTGTTTATAAAGCAGCACTCGCTCTCCCTATTTTCCTCCCGGGTTATTTCAGTGGGGAGCTCTTTGCAGCTCATTCAAAAGCAGGGACAGAGCAGGCCCTCCAGTCTCACCCCTTCCCTGTGGAGGAATTGTCGCTGCTTCTGAGGCGTCCCGCAAAGTTATTCATTAAGCAAAAGAGGCAGCCCTCGAGCTGTGCCAAGGACTCGGAGCGACACAGGGCTCAGCGGGGCTGGAAGGGGATGGTGGGAAGGGTTTAGCTACCTCTCCTCGACGCCTCCGTGGAGGCAGCGATGCGGGACACGCTCGGCGTGTGCAAGGAGGTGCCCAGCAGGACACAGCAGCCCTGGAAGGGGAACCCTCCAATACTCCTCCCAGCAGAGCCTCCCGGATAAAGGATCTTGGGGAATGGCAGCTGCCCTCTTCCCACCATGGTGCACTGTTTGACTTGGTGGGGGCTGCGTTTTTCTTTTCGCAGCGTGGGGGTTCCTGCTGCGCCGTCCCCCCGAAGCTGCCCCCAATTCACAGCAGACATCGGGGCTGCTCCCGACGCTGTCGGCACAGCCACCTCGGCAGTGCTCGACCTCTCCTAAACACGAGGGCGGAACCGGGTCCTTCTCGTGTCCCCGCAGAGAAACGTGCCTGCACCTGGGCTGCAGGACATGGCATTGCATGTACAATGCAATGAGGCAGGAGCTGATAATTTTGGAGCATCCAAGGTTGTTCTGCCCCAAGAGGAGAACTTGATGGGCAGCGTCAACCACTGGATTTTGGAGGGCATCAGCAGAGCCATAGCAGGAACGGTTGGCAACCATCAATCCCCATAGCTTCTGGTTCAGTGGGTCTGCTTTAACGTTGTAGATGCTGCAAAACTGAACTTGAGGGATCATTCTTGTCTCTCACAGGCTGATAACAAGGTGCTCTATAGGAACTGCTCTTCCCAGGTATGAGAGGCTTGCTCTTTCCTTAGGGAAGGAGGATGGAGGGGGCACTGGACAACGGCAGCCCTTGCAGGTGCACTGCGCCAGGCAGTCCCTTTGGAGCAGGATTCAGGCTTTCCCCAGGGCTTGGAAAGGGAAAATGAAGCATTTCTAGGTCCTTCTCTTTCCTATGCGGCATGCAAGAGCCGCCAGGATCTGGCCCTGCTCTTCCAGTCCTAGCGAAGCGAAATAGCCCCACGAGCACATGTGCGAGATACGAGTGAATGAGAGGGCGCGCAGGGCTCTACAGCCATCCTGTTATTCTTCCATGTCCTTTACAGGAAGATCCTCACTCCATAAACATCACGGGTTACGGAGTTCACGCTGGGTTTGCTGTGCTAAGTGAGTGCGTGCGGGTGGACGTGCATGTGCGTCTGCGCTGGAGCGAGGCCGTGTGGCCTCCCGGGCCCGACCGGCAGCTCCCGACCCGCTGAACGCGGCGCCTCGGCTCCGACTATCCGGGCATTTCAAAACAGTTTGCGGAGGGGAAACCAGGTGAGACCGGCCCCACAGACCTCATCAAGCTGGAGCTCCTTGAAGACTTCAGGCAGGGCAGCCCTGGTGCCGCTCGTGTCCCTCTCTGCCATCCCAGCGAAGCCGGAGCGCTTCCCCAGGGCCTACGGGAGCCCGGGGTCCGGAGAGAGCAGGAACCACTGGCTGACCCTGGGAGGAGCTGGTCCAGCGGACATCAGCTGAGTACCTGACCTCAGTTCCCTTTCAGATTTCAGCACCGTTAGGATGCATTCAAAAATATTTCTAAGTATTTGCGAGTATCTTTCTCCCCCTTGCTACCTGCATTTCAGCACAGCATCCCAGGTCCTTCTGATGGCTAGGGTTGTTTCCAGCACGATTTTGGCCTGGCTGAGGACTCGGAGCTAGCAGAGAAGCTGCTCTCCCCAAAGCTCAAAGCTCCTCTCTGAGGGAAGCTGCCCCTCCATGTCCCGAGCGCAGCCTGTCACACAGGCTGGCACTGCCATGGCTGCAGGCACAAGGCCCCGGCAGGCCTTAGCCACCGCGCTCCCTCCGAGGGCTCCTGCGTTGTTTACAAACCAGAGAAACCCAAATTCGTGAGTTGCTGAGAATTTCCGCTCAGCTGTGGGTCACATTTTAAGAGTCCTCTGTTTTTCTTTCCAAGTAACAAATGTTTGTTTTGCTGAAGCAAAAAGGGAGTGATCCTGCTCCACTTGGAAGGGTGCAAATCAGGAGTAGCTCCACCGAATCCAAGGGGCCAGAAGCAGGAAAACCCAAGAGGAGAAGTGTATCCTGCCCAATTCTATGAGGATGTGAGTGCCAGATTTCCTAGTTCCTTTACCCCCCGCTGCTCTTGTCCTCTTCCCACCCTTACCCCATCTCCCTGGTAGATTGTCATGACTGGGATGTCAAAGAGCAGTTATCACTAGCTGTTTGGTTGTTTTTTTCAATAAATATATGATGTACTCCAGATGCTGAAGAGCTGAGGATGCTTCAGATGGCCGATTTACACAGCTATAAATCCTGAGTCACTCCTCTTACTCCATCAGACCAACGCCAGATGCGAGCAAAGGCTGTAGGAGCAGCATCCAACCCTGCCTTACTGAAAGCAAACTGACCAACGACGTTTCTTCGAGAAAGACTTATGATTAATGACAGGCACACAAACAAAAGAAGGGCCTTGGGACACACTTCTCTAAGTCACAGCAATTTTCACTTAAGGAACTGGGACATTTTTTAAAGCTCAAAACAAGAGAGACAAAACTATTTCCTGCGCTCAACTGACCTAGTTTATTTTTTCTTCTTTTTTTTTTAAGGAGACACACGCTTAGTGTGAACATGAATGAAAAGGTCCCGTTCACAACTTTGCCTTGACATTGCTTGAACTAAATAGCCACCCGAGCCAGGCATCAGGCTGGAAGAATGGCCCCCACAGCCCCAGATCAGGAGTCGGCACCTTTGAATGCACCTTGTTCTGCTCTCAGGAGTCCACATAGCTTGAGAGGAGCTTTTCTAGCTTTGTGCAGCCTTCACCATTGCAGTTCTGCAAGCAGAGCTGGCAGGTCTGAGATCCACCCAGTAACAGACCGTCTGCTCCCCTGGGTCCCATTGCAGCCGTATTTTAGTTCAGTATCCGCGGGCCAGTTTTAACGCTGCTTGGAATATGAAGGTGTGTGTGGGGGGGTTCTTAATGTGCAAAAAGGGCCCTATCACCCTCTGAAAAAGTGGCTGGGAAGCAGAGTTTTCCATGCAAAATGTCTGGTTTTGCATACTCATCCAATTCCTAACAACTGTAAGGTACACAAGACCACCCGCACATTTCTTCCAACTGATCTAGGTTGAGCGTGTGATTAAGTCCCCTATTTATGTCACTTCTGAAGTGAATCTTGGACATGTGTGTTGCATTGATATAAATTTATGGATCAAGCTGTTTGATTCTTCAAATGGTTCCCAGATCCTGTTTACAAATTCTTTTATATTTTAGATGGGATGTGTCAGCATGAGCCAGGCCACCTTTCATCATTCCGATAGTGCAAAGCAGCCCTAAGCCCCGTTTCCTCAGCCAGTTAAAGTGGATTTTTGGGTGCTTTGGACTTGCAGCTGCTCAGAGAGGTAGGGGATATCAGTGAGTACTGTCTGCACGCGGCACTTCTCCAATGGATCCTTACAAGAAGTGCATTACTTTCCTACAAGAGCTGTTTGTGACACTTCATGTTCTTCACTCTGTAATCACGGTGGATTTTATTGAAAACAGCTGGATTTACACCGGTGTCAAAGCGCTTAAGGTCTCTGTTGATTTTGTCCTGCCAGTTGCAGGTGTCAAAGACACTCAGGAAAGGACTTTTCGCTTTGAAGGTGCAAAATAGATGTGGCAAGAGAACTGCATTTTGGATACACACACAACGCTCATATTGGAGTGTCTGGGCATGTTAAAATCTTTTTCACATGGCTTAGTGTTTACTGGTGTCAGAGGTGGATAGCCTCAGAACAGCTGTTTGGCTCATTAGCTCGCAGACATGGAGAATGTTTGTCCTGGGAACAGTATTTATAACTTTCCTAGGCAAGCGAGAGCCAAGATATTTCAAAACATGGTTTGCACTGAAGTGATACCTCCCCTCCTGAATACCTCCTTGCAAACATTTCTAACTACTCACTGGATAACCAGGACAGCAGGCAATCCAGCAGGAAAAGTGTTCAACATTTTGGTATTCTGCATTTGGTTAAGGCAAAATATAAGTAACCTTTCTTTTTTTTTTTAAAGGAATCCACAGATCTGTGATATTATAGGACCAAAGTAAGACAGGGGAGAATCAATTTCCAGTCCTCTTTTAAGAGGAGAAAGGTTGTGTAGTGGGAGAATCA